TGTGTCCACAGCCCTGGGGAGAAAGAAGCAAGCCAGTGCTCCTCACTGGTGATTTTCTTTCTTTGCTTTTATTTGTGCTTTTCCTTTTTCTTTTTTAAAAAAGACTATCTGTGCTTCAATCCTTGTTTGTCTAAGAGGTTTTTTCTTATTTGGAAACCGATTTGCTTCGGTTTGCACAGAAGCTGTCTCTGGTGTGATGGATCGTGCTGGAAGTCACCCAAGGAGTATCTCTGTTCCCAATTAGAAGTGGAGGCAGAGCTGCTTACAGGGTCCCAGGGAGGCGGCTGGCTTGGGTGACAGCTGCTGCCGCTCTGGAGAGAGTAACGATCCGTGGGTTTATATCCATGTGTATAAAATCAGGCTAATTTAAAGATGAATTATGTGTGTGTTTTGGACCATTTTCTCTTAATGTTAAAGGTTTGATGGCTCCTGTCAGTTTATGTGGTCCCTAAATTTGTGTGAGGTTCAAAATGAGTGCACTTTTAAAGAATTACTAAATTCTACATCCAGATGAGATGTATTAGAATAAAACTGAATCAATGAAATCCCTCAGAACTCAACAGGGAGAGTGTGTAGGACAGACATTGTGCACGAGCTTGGGCCTGTTACCTTCTTTTCCTCTTCCGTCTGGAACCTCTGTGTTCAGGAGCCAGAGAATGTACCCTGTGCTGGTTTGTTGCGAGGGCACCAGCTAGCATGTTACTCTGACCTTGCAAACCTTACCCATAGTGCTTTGAAACCAGGGTTTGCCAGTGGTCAGCTAGAATGCTGTCTTAGAATGGCTGTCGGCCAGGTATTACTCAGGCAACATTAAGAACCGTTTTTAATGTTTTTCCTTTTTGGGGAAGCAAATCACAGTAAACATTACTTTGAATGCTATAAATCTGCACTAATGCAATAGCCACTAGCTACATGTGCCCACTCAATACTTGAAATGTAGCTAATATGAGTTGAGATGTTCTGTAAGGGTAAAACACACCAGACTTAATGCAAATAAAAGAATGTAAAATATTGCATTAATATTTTATATTGATTATGTGGTGAAGTGATAATATTTGGATAAATTGGGTTGGAGACAAACAACATAGTATTAAGATTAATTGCATCTGTTCTTTTTAAAATGTGGCTACTGAAAAGTTTAAAATTATATACGTGGTTGCATTATATTTCTGTTGGACAGCACTGCTGTACCATTAAAATCAGATCATTCAAACTTTGACAGGAATAACATAACACTTATAGGGCACTTAGAACATCCCAGGCTCTTTACATGTATGATCTAATTTTGAATCCTAAGTTTTGAATAGAAAAACAAAAACAAACATTTGATAAGCCTAATTTTTTACTCCGTTTCTCACACTAGTTATTTTTGTGGACTATTTTAGGTTTTTTTTAATGTAGTGTATTAACTTGTTAATTCTCACCCAATACTATGAAATAGATGCTATGATCATACCTACTTGACACAAAAGAAAGTGGAAACTTAGAAGTTTAACTAACAAGGGTTTGACTGTAGCGCAGTCTGAAAGCAGAACTTCTGTGAGCCAATTAAATATCTTGGCAGTTAGGCAAGAATGATGCCACTGAATTTCTCTGTGACCTTGGGAAGGTCTCCTTATCTATCTGTGTTCCACTTTCCTCATTAAGCGATTGGACTCGAGATGCTCTTGGAGGTTCCTTCTAGTTCTTTGCATGTAGGGAGTCCATTTCACTGTCCCCAGTTTGGTTTTCCTTTCCCTCTTGATTTTTCTGCTGTGCCCATCTGGTAAGGACCAGCAGACCAAAAGAATAGATTGAATTAAGGGAAAGCAGGGTGGAAGAGTATTTAGTATAGGAGTAAAAAAGAGCAGGAGAAGGAAGAGGAGGAAGTTCAATCGATGAAAAATTGGGTGTGGTCAATACTGCGGTGGCAGAGTGAACACCACGTGGGGGTACTCAGGCAGAGCAGAGCCCAGAACTGTGACATAACCTGCCCGCAACCTCAGCAAAGGTCTGCCTTTTCTCCCGAAATGTGAAAACTATGGAGAGAGCCTGGGAATGCAAGGAAAATGTACGAAGGATTGGAAGAAGACTTTCCAAGGAAGGACCAAAGGAAAGCAAGGTGAAGTCTGTACTATACAATTTAGAGATTAGGTGAATGGGTGCTGGAGGCAGATTGGGGTCAAAGCTAGACCTCACGCTTTATCAGCTGTGTGATATTGAGCAAGTTCTGCACCTCCCCAAGCTGCGTGTTTGCATCTGTAAAGTGGGACAACTGCTTACCTCTTGAGTGGTAGGCGATATCAAGCAATACACACTGCTGCGTTTTGAATGTTCACTGTGTGCCAAGCACCTTGCATGTACACAAACATATGAACGGCCATTATAAGGGTGCATTAAGTCGAGATCTTGTCATGATCCTAATAGCATCTAAAAAGATCATTTGCTTGCGTTCTCATCCTACTGTGTTACTTTCTATGAAGTTACTTCTCAAAGCCTCCTAGGTGACTCATTGATAAAATAAGAGGATTAAAGCAGATGACCTGTAAGGGTTTTTTTTAGTTCAAAATGTGCAATTCTGGAAATAGGATTAATTTAGTGTTATAAAGGCTAAGGGGATACTAAAATATGAATTTCAAATGTATATTTGAGCGATTATTTTAGGTTTGAGGGATGGTGACCAGCTGTTGTCTTTTGACGAAGGATTGGATGAAGGGGCACACTTTAATTGTTTTAGACTCGACATTTGGAAGCCTTTTCTGATTTGGGAGGAGGAATAATATGTCATCAGAGCAGGCTCTGAAGTTGCACGCTCTGAACTCATTAAAGCAAACAGTTGACTTTTTCTGATACTCAACTTCAGTGTAACTTCACACAGGCCTTCCATGATCCTGTGATCTGAAGTAGAACCCCCACCTTATTTTTCCTTCATGGCTTTTACTAGAATTTGTAATTGTATATTTATTTTGTATGTAGTACGTTGTTTTCCTCCATAGTTCTTACTCCAATTTGTAGTTGCACATTTATTTTGTATTTAGTGTTTAATGTCTGTCTCTGTGGACTGTAAACTACCTAAGGGCCAGCCAGGACTGTCTTTTATTTGGTTGTCCTCCTGTGTACCCAGTCCCAGCACAGCAGTTGTCGCGCAGCAGGTGCTCAGTAAATATTTGTTGAATGAATAGATGGATGGATGAGCTTCAGAGGAGGTTGGTTGGTGGTATTGCTCCTTGGTGGAGTTGGATCCTCTGCTTGCCTTTTTTGGTACGAGAAATCCTAAAGACCTTGTCTTTCAAGGAACTTTACATACTGCTTCTCCTTTCCACCTCCTCCTTTTTCTGGCGGCTGGTCACCATGGATGTGTGTTTCTTCAGTTTTAATGGGATGCTGAGTGCCCAGTCCTGGCGGACTGGTCAGCCTGCATCTGCTTCTGGTGGGGATGGAAGGGGTAGGCATAGTTCCATTTGAGTCAGGATAAAGCCTGGTGGAGCAGGACTTGATTGAGCTGGTTATTTCCGTTTGCTTCCCCAGAACCACTCTTGGTCCTTTTTCATACTGTCCTGGGCTCCAGGAAGTTGACGTCAGTGGGTTGCATCAACAAGGATCTCTTGCTCTCCGACGTCTGGTTGAGGTTGGCCAGTGGGAGGGCAGGGCAGGAAGCTGAGGATGGGAGGAAAGAGAGGCTGGGCTGTGTGGCTCCATGCTCCATGCTCTGCCCTGGGGGGCTCTCTGCTGCAAGCTGTGGCTCCTGGCTGGGAGCTCTTTGTGCTGGCGTTCCCTCCACATTCTTGCAGATACTCCCTCTCTGTTCCTCCAGGAATAGCAGTGGTAATGGTGGCGCCCCACTGTTTAGTTCCCTGGGGTGCATTCCCTGTTGTTCCCTTACTTCTGCCCACACCTCTGTAAGTACTCTCTACACTAATCCCCCATACAGATGGGCCATTCATTTTCTGAGACTGTTTTCCAGGACACCATTCTCCCATATCCTTGCCCCCATTTTATCTGATACAGGTTAGGGACCACATATCTAATTGTCAGAGGGGCAGTAGGTACGGGGTCGGAGGAGAGGTTGGAGGACTATTTTGTGATAAATCCAAATATGATCACTTGTGCCTGAGGTTTCTGTTTTTAATGAAACAAATAAACAACAACAAAAAAACCCCCTCCTTTGGGTTAGCAGTCTGGGGACATGCTGAGAAAGGGGTTCGGCTTTTCGCTGGTCCCTCTCCTGGGCACGCCAGCTCTGGCTGCCACTGCTCGCTGGCCCCGTAACCTCACGCCCCAGGTCGTCGGCCAAACTCCTGATGTCTTCAGAAGAAAGGCCCTGGTGTGCAGAGTGGGGCCTGTGAGGCATCTGTGCCTGCCCTTTCTCTTCCAAAGGCTTTCGAGGCCTTCGCTTCCCTGGTGAGTTGTTAAGAACAGCCTCTCTGAGGTTGAAATGGCTTTTCGTGGAGCAAACGAGAGCTGGCCAGCTCACATGGCCGAGGGGAGGTCACAGAGTTGCCAAACAAGGGCTGGGCTAGAGGGAGAGAATACGGAGCCCCAAGGCTAGCATTGGTGTACTGCTTTTGAGTTTTCAAAGAACTTAGTGTAAAGGAGCCCATTTTTACCTCACAAAACAGCCATGTGGGGTGCTTGGCATTGTTATACTCATTTTGTAGATGCAAGTAAGGGCTCTGGGGTTCGTGCACCTTGCCCAAAGTCACAGGGCTGGAGAGGGGCCGCTGGACTGAGACGCCAGCCATCTGGCCCCGTGTCCATCTGGCGCCCTTGCTGTTCTACCTCTGCCACCCCTTAGGGAGCAGGCAGGGCTGGGATCTATCTCTGAGATGGTGAGCTGGAGTCGGAGCAGGTGGACCCAACTCCAGTGTCCTGTTCCACTTGATGGAGAGCACAGGCGGCCTCGAGTCCTACCCCGGACTCCAGGAACTCTGGTTCCTGCATGTGCTCGAGGGCCGTTTCTCCTGCCCCTCCTGTCCCTGCTTCTAGTGGCCTGACGCTGCTTTTCTGTCCTTGTATTTCAGAAGTGGAGCTGCCCCTGAAGAAGGATGGGTTCACCTCGGAGAGCACCACACTAGAAGCCTTGCTTCGAGGGGAAGGGGTTGAGAAGAAGGTGGATGCTAGAGAGGAGGAGAGCATCCAGGAAATACAGGTATTTCTGTGCCCACCGGGGGCGGAGGGCACCGCTGGAGCGTCACCGTGCTGCTTCCAGAACCGCGCCCCCAGCATGGGCGCTCTTCTTAAGGGCCAGGCTGCACCTCAGCCTCCCTCGTGGTGCCGCTGCCGGGAAGCTGGAAGATTCTTTTCTGATTTTAACTCTCACAGAAGATGTCGTTGTTCCTCTCAAATCCACTTCTCTTCCCTGCTCTCCCCATTTATGTACTTAGAATGTATCTTGGGGGCTAGCTGTGTGCCAGGCGTGGTGTTAGGTCCTGGGGGCACGGCGGGGAGCAAAACAGGTGGAGTCCCCACCCCCCGTGGAGTGAACAACCCGGAGTCCCTGCTTTAAACCTCAGAGTTGTCTGCATTAGCTGGTGCTGAGGGAGTCCCCCGCCGCCTGTCCGGCCCCCCCCGCCCCCCCGCCCCGGCCTCACACCCAGTCCTCACTATAGTTCACTTAGTTCTTTCCCAGCACCACTCGTCCTTCAAGGCCAGTTTGGAAGTCACTTTCTAAGCAGAGTTGGTGGCTCCTGTCCCCCGCAAGGCTCTCATCAAGCAAGATTATAATGGCGTGCTCTGACCATTCCTTATCTATTTGTCTTGAATCCCCATTGTTGAGTATAATGATTGGCACAGAGTATTGTAATAATGTTAAATAATACAAATAATAAATAATAGTAATAATGATATGATTAAAATTACATTGTATTTATATTAAATTTATATTTTATATTTTGTTATACATGATATATTACATATTTATTAATTTTACACCTGATTTAATATTCATATATTAATTTGTTGACATTATAATTAAATTAAAGCAGTTGAATGTTTGGTTTGCTTCGTAAGTACTACCAGTCTTTTGAGTTGTGTCAAGTCAGGGGATATGTTGACACACTCAACATTGACCATTGTACCCTTGGGCCTTGCACGTGTCCAGCAGACTTAGATCCCAAGAGGTGTTGAATGAATCAGTGAGTCTCCTCACCTTCTCTGCCCTTCGTGTGTTCAGATGAATGCGCAAGTCTTTGCCATTTAGTTGTCACAACATGGCTTATAGTTGTTTCTTCCTTGACTCCGCAGAGCTACAGCCCTTGCACAGATCCCTATTAACCATCACTTTTCTTTGTCTGACACACCTTGGAGTGATCTTCGATGCCTGTCTTTCTCTCGCACTGAACATCCAATTCATCAGGAACCCTGTCGACTGTGCCCGCAACATAAATCCAGAGCGTAGCCCCTTCGCACCACATCCACTGCTACTACGCGGGACCAAGCCAGTCTCATCTCCTGTCTGAACTGTTGGGATTGCTCTCTAAGTGGTCCCCCCTGCTAATGGCTGGGAGGAACCCTTTTAAAATTTAAGTCAGATCCTGTCATTCCTCTGCTTAAAACGCTGCAAGGACCCCTGTTCTCCCCGAGTGAAAGTCAAGGGCCTCTTACCGCCCTCTTTCCCCTCTCTTTCCCATTCTCACTCTGCTTCAGGCACACTGACCTCTTTGCGCTGCTTCTGGAACAGGCCCAGTACACCCCTGCCTCTGGGCCTTGTTTCTGGCTGTGTCTCTGCTAGTGGAGTCCTTCCCAAACATCTGTTTTTTTCCACTCCCTCACCTTCTCCAAGTTTTCGCTTCCGTCTCCCCTTTCCTCTGAGGGGTACGTATCCTGACCACTGTATGTGCTACCGCGCCTGGTGCCCTGCCGCCCCCCAGTGCTCCACGTTCTCTTACTCTGCTTTTCTTTCCCCACAGCCCTTATCATTACCTAGTGGGCTTTGTTTATTTTCTGTTTTCTTCCAGTAGACTGTAAACTCCTCAAGAGCAGGAGTCTTTGTCTTGTTCACTAATCTGTCTCAAGCATCCCAGTAGCGCCTGGCACACAATGAATTTTTACTGAGAGTGTGTGTGAGTGAACAGGTCCCTGAGTGGTCCCATTCCCAGTCCTTCCCCTCTGCGGCACTGCCTACTTTCTGAGCTGGCCTTTCATCCTGAAACAAAGTTCTGCTTGTGTCACCCCCTTGCTAAAAAACTTAGCTGAAACATGTTTTGTTTCCTACTAAATAAATCCAAAATGATGAGTGTACCCTTCCCAGGCCTCTTCTCTGCTCCTAACCTAGTTTTCAGGCTTATTCCCCAGTACCCCGGTACTACCTCTGCTCTTCAGCCCTCTTCCTGCTGTGCCTTTGGTCATGCTGTGTCCTTTATTGAAGTACCTTTCTTCCATCTCCCTGTGTACCAAGTCCATCCATCTTTTAGGATTAGCTCCAGTGTAACCTTCCCCATGAAGCCTTTCTTGATCCCCTCATAGCAAGAGGGTCTGTTCTTACCTCTGGCATTTTAGGGTATCTAGTAATTTTTTTTCCCTTTTGCTCTTTATTTATTATCCTCCATTTGTGGGTTTTCAGTTCTTTGAAGTCAACATGTGTCACATCTGTATTGCCTAGTACATTTTTCTAATTTAGTATAATGTGACTGAATCAGTGAATGGGACAGAACCATTGCCCAGAAGCCTTGATGCTTTAACGCCCTTTCCCTTTAAAGCCTTTTCCCTTTAAAGCTGACGGTGGGTTTGAGCTCTTCTCAGGCAGCATTGGGCCAGTCTGTGGGTTGTCATTGTGGAATCATCATCACCGTCATCGGTGATGTCAGCTGAGTGCCTTCTGTATGCAGAGTACAGGGGCTCCCATCTCCTGGGCCAGGACTCTAAGCCAAATGAGCTTAACATGTTTGTAGTAAATGGACAGTTTTGTTGATTTTTTCCATTCATTCATTCAGCCAAAGTTGATTGAGTGCCTCCCCTGGGCAGGCACTGTGCTAGGTTCTAGGGAGAGAGAGAAACCAGGAGAGACCTATCCTCTCTGCTCGTACTTATAGTCTGGTATGACATATAGACAGAAAGCAAGTAAACCCATAGAATAGTTGCGTTTCAGGATCAGTGCCATGAAAAGAACAGAGTATGAAGATTCAATATAAGAGAAGGAACAGATGCTAGGGTGTGTCTTAAGGGACACAGGAATTTAACCTTAGTCCTGTGTGATGAGAAGGAGCCAGCAAAGTGAGGCTTTTAATCAAGAACTTTCTGGGCAGGGGAACAGTCTGAGCTCCTCGTTGTGTGAAGAGAACAGACAGAGTCCCCTGTGGCTGGAGCGCAGTGTGGGGGAGGGCGGGAGAAGGGCCCCCGCTGCAGCGGGGCCAGGCCACTCCAGCCTCCCAAGACATCGAAGAGGCTCTTGGTTTCAGGAAGCCTTATGGAGAGTTTTAATCTGGGCAGTCAATTTGTGTTTCACCAAGATAGACCCCTCGTCCCCTCGTGGAGAGGACACTGGGTCCTGGGCCAGTAGTAGAAGGAGGGAAATCAGGAGCTTTCTACAGTGTTCCAGGCCAGAGATAATGGAATCTTTAAAAGGAATTAAAAAAAAAAAAAATAACACAACCACAAGCCATTGTTAACACCACCATAAAAACTGTTTAGAGTAACAGGGAGAAAGTTATTTTAAAATGTGTTTATTTCCCAGATAATGTCCTTGGACAGGAATGCAGGCGTGTTACTGGAGGATCAGCTCTATCTCTAGTGGGACACCTCTGCCCTTCACTCCTCATACAGGATACCCCCTCTTCCTGTGCCCTGAATGCGACCTTTGTTTGTTAGGAACTCTTGCCTCCTCCAGAGTTCTGTAGAGAGGTTTCTGGTGTCAGGACCTTGTTGCAGGAAATGCAGACACGCTGGGGAGGCGGCCATCACGTCTGAGGCCTGGGGCACACACAAGAGTATCTAGAGACACAGAGAAGCTGATGGGAAGGCGGGGGGTCGGGGGCTGCGGTAAAAGTCAGTTTACTCTGTGTGGCACTTCGGTGGACCACCTCAGCTGCCTTCACCAGTCTTTCTTTTTGCAACCTAGTGTCCATATTGCAGGTGATAAATATTTTCATAATGGAAAATGAGGGGAGTCAGAATTGTACTGAGGTGCTAGAGGCAGTGACCTTTAAAATCGAGGCACTTAGAAGTTAGCATGGTTAAATGCCTTCAAGATCCAGAAAGTTTGCAAGATGACTGTACGAATAGTCACAACAGTTGTAATAACTACATCTTTTCACAGAGGCTACAGAGCGTTTGACTAGTCCTAGTCTTGGCTTGACTTTCTCTCATGTTCCCACTTACTGGTCTAGAAGCCAAGAAACAGGGAAGCTAGGAGGCTTGCCCTGGACCCACACCAGCGTTTCCTAGCCGTAGGCCAGAGGTCGTGTCCAGCAGAAAATGCTTCTCCATTAGATGGCTAAGGTTGGCCCAGAGACTCATAAGTGCTGTCTGCTGATGGCTTCCCAAATAAACCTAGTAGGGAACCAGAGACAAATTTACTAGCCCTGTTTTGAGTTCTTTGGGAGGGTTTGGTAACTAACAGCATCCTGTGGCTGGAACAGAATTCTCTGATGAGAAGGCAGTGGGAGAAGGTCAGTGGTAACTTAACTCCTGCGCTTTCTGCTCGGAGGACAGACCAGAGGCATTGCCCAGGAGGCCACTGGAACAGGGATGGTGATATTGGATATCAGTGTGGTGCGTGCTGCTTTTGAAGCCTTTTCATAGCTGTGTGATCGTCACACAAATCACCACAGAGTGGGTGCCATTATCCTGTATAACATGGGGCCCGCTCACTTTCGTAGCCTCATCTTATGCCAGCCTCTTCCTGAGCCACTGAGCTCTGGCCACATTGGCCTTTTTTCTGCTCCCTGGACAAGTCATGTTCCTCTCCCCGCCTCAGGGAGTTTGTTCATGCTGTTCCCCCTGCCTAGAGTACTTTCCTTTCTGCCTTCTCCCTGTCCCCATTCCCGGGCTAGTCTTTTTTCTCCTTTGCAGCTCAACTTTCTTAGGTCACTTTTTCAGGTAAGCCCTATCTGACCCTCAGATTAAATTTCCTTCTGTTACCCTCTAAGAGCAGCTTGAACTTGCTCGTCACTGTTTATATAGCAGTTGTAATTATGTGGTTATCTATGTTGTTTAAATCTGTCCTGCCTTCACTAGACTTTCCAAAGCTATTTGGAGCCTGGACTGGAGCCATTCTGTGGCTTGTCTAGCATGGCACCTGCTATGTAGCCAGCACTAGACAAATGTTTGTTGGTTGAATGAGTGAATGAGTTTCTGTTTTTATAATTAGGGGAACAGGCTCATAAAGAAACCCCCAGGGCTCCTGACATGGAGTCCACTGAGTTCCATGCTTTCTCGCCCCTCCTTCCGTTCCAGGAGCTGGGTCATCTGCCACAATTTCTTACCCTTCCCTTATACCTAGAGGTACACACCTCCCTCCCCTCCGTCAAAGGGAGCGAAGTGCTCAGGTCCCCACAGGAAGGGTGTTCCACAACACAGCTTGGCATCTTGAGACAAGGGCTGAAAAACAAGTGGGAAACTCTGAGCTGATGAGTCTGGCCTTGCTTTGGTTATGGATTTGCTGGGTGATCTTGAGAAGTCAAACGTGCTTTCACCCTCAGTTTACCCACCTGCAAAATGAAAGTGGGATTCTCTCCTATGGTATGATGCATAGAGCAGTCGGAGGGAGAGAATTAAATTTATGATCTTTAAACTCCATTACAAGTAATGCTCTGTAATGAAAAGAAATCCTTTTTTTCTTAAACAACAATGGGTGATTATGAAAAACGCATTAATGTCATAATCTGGTCAGATGAACAGGAAGTTACTTGTTTTTATCAAACAGGGCAGGGTTCCAGCACAGCAGGGGAAGGAGAAACCTATTCTCATATTTAGGAACAAAAGGAAAATCACATTAAAGAAAGTTTTGACAAAACATCTTAGGTCCACATAGGAAATTGCTCCTACCAGAGTATTTTCTTTTTAGAAAACCCTCCTTGGTCACAAGGAGTTGTAAAAGGCCAGTGTTCTGGGAGGACCTGGCTGGAAGGAGCCTAGGGGTTTGAGAGAGAGTTGGACTCGCTGAGCCCTCAGACCCTGGGCAGCGTCTCTGGAGCCCTGCTTCCCAAGGAGCGGCAGCATCTCCACTTTGTTAAAACGCAGCAACAAAATGGAATGTCCCTCAAATTACCCTCAATAGTTACCTTTCTTTGCATTTTATTTCTTACCCCCCTCTTGATTTTCTTGTCATTTCAGAGAGTTTTGGAAAATGATGAAAATGTAGAAGAAGGAAATGAAGAAGAGGATTTAGAAGAGGATATTCCTAAGCGAAAGAACAGGACCAGAGGACGGGTAAGCTGGGGTGCCAGGAGAGTGAGCGTGGTCGGGGAGGCTGAGGTGGCGCAGAGCTCTGGTCCCCAGATTCGAAGTCCCACTGCACCATGTCCGTGGGCTTTCGTGCAGAATACCCCGAGTGGAAAAGCCCAGAAGGGCTCTGAGCTTAGATGATAGCCTGTAACAGTTTAGAGCTGGCAAGAGAGAGCAGAGGCAGACGGTGCCCCGCGGGGGCAGAGGGTTTGGGAGAGGTTGGAGCCGGGATCAGGGTGACGGTGGAGGACAAGGAAGACGGGACAGCTGTTCCTGTTGTTTGCTCTTAAAAGAAGGCTGGAAGTTTCCTGTCCTTGGGGGTGCCCCAGAGTGACAGGGTCAGGGCGCCCACTTTGGGGTGTGTTTTATTAGGCAGAGAGTAGAACCACAAGCGACGGTCCCCAAGCAGGTACGGCCTGCACTTTGGAGGCTGGTGGTCACGGAACGTGGCAAGAAAATGCCGGAAGCCCAGGGAATGGCAGAGGGGAAGCCTGCGGTGGAAGAAATAAAAATATCAGAATGGCTCTTGAGGGGAGGGAACCAAACCAGGGTGGTGGTCGCAGGTATTCTGATTGGTCCCCTGGAGCCCTCATGTTCAAGCCCAAAGGGGCTTTCTGTGGTCAGTGATAGGGGTCTGCAGGGGCGTCTGACAAAAACCAGGTGGAGAGTGTCTTCTGGGGCCAAATGGCTGCTTTTCTTTAGAAAATTAACTCTCTTAGTCCTGTCTGGCTCCTTGAGGCTCTAGGCAGGACCCGTACTTTTTTCATGGACAAGGGCTAATCCTGGGTGTCCAGAGAATTTGGATCTAGTGATAATTATGGAGTACCTCCCTATCCCTGTGGTTCTTTTGCCTTGGTACGATATGTAGCCAAATCACCAGGAAAGCCTATCAGAATGCAGATTCCCGGGACCCAGGCTCGAAGTTCTGACTTAGGAGGTCTGAGAAGAGGCCTGGAAAGCTCTATCATGCCCCAGTTTCTAGGTCACTGGTACAGGCGGCCCAGCTCTGCCCACACTGTGCTGCGTCGCTCCAGACCTGCTGACGGGCGGTGGACTCTTGGTCTGCCGGGGCAGGTGGCCCTCTGAGGCTGCGTGCCCTCTGCTGTTGGCACCCAGCATTCGTGGTGCCGACCATTTTGACAATCTCTTTCTTCTATCCTCTCTCTTTTTGTTCGTTAGCATGTTTTATATTTTATGTGTGAAATGTTTGAAAGCAAATACATCAGTGTATATCTCTAACATCACTATCATCCCCAATAAAAAGAATAGCTATTCTGAGATCCACTACCCACTCCCTGATCATTTCTCCCTGATTCCCTAAAAAAATGCCTTTGGCAGTTGTTTTGTTTGAAACCTAAGCCCCTTGGATTCTACAACATACCTTTTCTTTGCTATACCCTGCGAGAGAGAGAGAGAGAGAGAGAGAGAGAGAGAGAGAGAGAGAGAGAGAGACGCGCAGAGAGGCTCTCTCTCTCTCTCTCGCACTCTCTCTCTCTCTCTTTCCATGCCATTTATTTGTTGAAGAAGTTGGGTGGTTGGTCTTAAAAGAGCTTTTCCCATCCTAGGCTTGGCAGACTGATGGTATTTGAAGTGTTCCTCTGTCCTCTTTAGTTCCTGAAAACTGGTGGTTTGATTAGAGGCTTCATTGGATTCAGGATATTTATGTGTGCATAAGTATTTTTTTTGGTGGGACAAGAATCTGTCGTAGGTGTGATGTCTGCTTCTTATTGTATCACATTAGGAGGCATATGTTGTCTGGTTGTTCTGTTTCCGGTGGTGGTAAAATTGATAGGTGGTTTTGGATGTTGTGAGCCTGTCCCTTCTTACTCTCGTAAAGTTCTCCCTTGAGTTTTCACCTAATTGTTTAGCATTGATGAACTTGTGTAGGCTCATGAGTTCATTGGAGGTTACAAAATAATGATTATTTAATTCTATCATGAAAGGAGGCTTTAGAATGCAGAGTTCCCTGAGCTTTTTGTGAACTTCCAAGAACTATGTATCACCTCCAACCCTGCTTCCTTTCCTTCCCTCCCCTTGGCCCAAACCAAACTTGTGGGAGTAGATTGTGGAAGGAGAATGGTCTTCACACCTTCTCCGTTCCCAGCCTAAACATAGATGATTGAACTTGCAGTCAGTAAGTATGAATGGGGGAGTCTTTGTAAGAACATAAGCGGTAGCAGCAGCAACCATTTTTACTTACTCTCCACCAGGCAATATGATAAGGCACTTTACAGTAAGAGCTGCCACATAGAGAGCCATAACTGTGTTCTTCATACTTCATTCACTGCACTGGCTACATGCAGCTACTGCGCACTTAAAATGTTGCTAGTTCAAATTGAAATGTGCTGTAAATGTAAAATGCACACCAGATTTCAAAGACATAGTATGAAACGAATGCAGAACATCTCCTTCATATTCAATATTTTTATAATGATTGCATATTGAAATGATAATATTTTGGCTATATTGGGTTAAGTAAAACATATTATTAAAATTATTTGCACCTGTTTCTATTTCTACTCTTTTTCTTTAAAAAAAATGTGTCTGCTGGAAAATTTGAGATGATGTGTGGCTTGTGTTATATTTGTGTCGTCCAGCATTGCTTATTTCACTCCCATGGATTGGCATTATTATTTCCAGAGAGGTTAAGTAACTTGCTCGAGGTCATCCCACCCAGTAAGGAAGATGGCAAGATCTGGACATAGGTCTGTGCTTTTTCCACGGAGTCGTGCATGGCCCTATCTCCAGCATGTGGCCAATGACCACTTTTTGGAATGAAATACTGAATGACAGAAGTCATTTCAGCTTGGTGGGAGCCGAGAGAGGACCTGGACACACTGACACGGCTGGGTGGGGCCTAGACCAGCTCCGGGCCCATGCTGACCGTGGTGCTGTTGAATGCTGCACATTGTGCAGTGACATTGTGGGCATGTCACCCATGGTGGGAGCCATGGGAAGACCCAGAAGAGTGTGGGGGAGCCTGCCTGGGCTGGACTAAGGGCACGAGGCTGCTCAACGAAGCCTCCCTTTAGCATGGTATATTCAAGCTGGTGTAGGGCGTGCATCTCAGTGCCTGTCCTCTGGACTCAGCATCTGTGTCACCTAGGAGATTGTTAGAAGTGCAGCACCCACACCTCATCCTGCATGGACTGAATCAGAGTCTGCACTTCAGTAAGGCCCCCAGGTGCTTTGTGTGCTCACTGAGGCAGCCAGGCCTAGGGTAGAGTTCACAAGAACAGCCTTTGGGTGAATTAGGAAACCTGTGACCTTAACCAAATTATATACATGTACTCTGGGCCTCAGTTTCTTCATCATTAAAATGGGAGCAATAGTACATAGCCAATTTAGAGTGTTTAATAAAGACTAAATGTCATGAGGAGGGTGCAAGCAAAGGGAACAACAACTCTCTGAGTTCTGACAATGGAGATTCCCATGGGGTGAAAGAAATTCAGACCCAACAGTTAATGAGTGTGTTTGGTAACTTTAGTCCAAGAAATCCAGGTTCTTTAAAATTGACAAAATTCTTGTGAGTCATCCATGTGAGTATTATGGGTCAGTCAATCAGTAAGTATTTATTGATGCATTGTGGGGTAGTCCAGTGCTTCGCAGACTTTAATGTGCCTACAAAGTACCTCGCGATCAGTAGGTCTGGGGGGTGGGGATTGGGATCTTGCCCGGTTAACACGCTCCACAGTGGAGTCAGTGCTGCTGATCTGAGGACCACACCTTAAATAGCAATGAGATAGAGCAGTGGTTCTCAACATTTTTTTTCTTTTCTTTTTTTTTTTTTTAGTCTCAGGAATTCTTTACTTAAAAATAACTGAGAGCTCTCCAAAAGCTATTGTTACGGTAGGTTACAACTAGCGATACTTGCCATATTAGAAATTAAAACAAAAAATGTGAAACTTAAGAATACGTAAGCACACAGAGTGATGACCTCGTCGTGTCATGTAGTCTCTGTAAAACTCCACTCTGCACCTGTGAGAGAATGAGAGCGAAAAATTTCACATGACATTTAGTACTATTATGAAAACAGTTTTGACATTGCAGCTCCCCTGAAAGGGTCTCAGGGACCCCCAGTGATCCCTGGACCACTATTAGAGAACAGCTGGTAGAGAGAAACTAGCTCTCTGTGCCTGTTGCAGTCGAGGGTCTTTTAATTACAGCAGAGTCAACAGCTCAAGCAAAAGTGGGAGGTATTTGAAAAGCTGCTGGGCCATTGCTCCAACTTTGAGCAATCTTCCAAGATTCAAGCCTTAGCAAGGGCAAGAGAGAGGCAGGAATTTAAGATTGGGAAAGACTAAAGCACCTAGTAAGTTTCTGGCCTCCACTTCTCCTTCCTTCATTGTCCTCTTGCAAGACTACTTTTTCTGCTGCTCTGTGCACATGCCCCCAGAGTTTCTGAACTGGCGGGTCCCTAGTTCAAGTGGCCTGTGCTAACTAGGACCGCTGTTTCCCCATTCCAAGTTCTTTGGAACTAGAATCTGATTTTTCCGGCTTAGGTCAGGCATCCACTCCTGAGCCAGCCAGTCATCTGCAGCCAGGGGAGCCAGGCCATGTGGTACAGTTGTGGCTGTCCTGGGCAGCCACTGTGTGAATGGAGATGGAGTGGAGTGGGGTGGGCAGTTCTCAGGGAGGGGGAGTTGGGTTTTTTGGGGTAGTTAGTTTCAAAGTTTTCTATAACAGTTTGAAAGACCTTAGTCCTGCTTCTTCTACTGGCTCTATGACTGTGCACAAGTTATGAACCCTCCCTGGGTCTGTTTCATCAAGTGCCATATGGGAATAATATAATTTGCTCTCTTAGGTACTGTATGAATTAATTGAACTAATATATGTGAAAGAGCTGTGGATGCTCGTGCCCAGGATAGTGCTAAGTGTTGGGCATGCGTAATAAAGTACGAAATACATCTTTGCTTTCAAGGATGCTGGAATTAAGTTGAGGACAACATGCTAATAGCCATGATACGATGAGAAAGCAGCAGGCTTCAGAGTGTGCACTAACCAAATGCAGTGAGAGTTCAGAGCAGAGAGAGAGCTCAGCCTGGGCAAGGAGGGAAGTAGTTTGCTGAGCACTTCCTGCAGACAGAGCACTGTCCCCTGCGGTTTCACACACCCTGTGTTCTTTCTCAGCAGCTCTGCAGCAGAGGTGCTGCTGTGCCAGTCTTCCAGTTAAGAAAGATAAGGCTTAGGGACATAACTTGTCCAAAGATGCATGGCTAGTGTTTAAACCGCGTCTGACTTTAAAGCCAAGGCTGTTTTTACTCCTCAGAGTGGCAAGGAGAAGGTTCTTGGGGGGGTGGGATGTAGCAGGGCTAGGGCATGGGTCAGATGGGGGTGGGCAGGGAGGCTGATCTGTGACGGGGACCATTAAAAAGCAAAGGCGTGGACATAGCGTGAGCTTGAGGTGAACCTCAGGGGATTGGCATTAGATCACCATCGGATGTACCGGTGGGCTTTAGATGGCAATGAATGACCATAGGTTCCTGTCCTCCACTGCTTTTCTCTAATTATCTAGGAGTCATGCAGGATGGATTGGGTAGGGCAATGTGGAGGTAGAACCCCACCTTGCAGTTGAGGAAACTGAGGTGCAAGGGAGAATGTGGGAGCCTGTGGTCACCCTGCTGGTCAGACCTGCAGAACGAGATGAAACCCTGGCTCCCTCCCCTTTGCGTTGGCTGGAGCTCTGTGCTCCCAGTTCCGCACAGCTCCTCCTTGCCCCTGGCGGGGTGTTTAGTCGCCCAGAGCCCCTCCTGAGTCTGCTGTTGCCTCGGCATTCTGCCCGACTCGCTCTCACCTGCTGCAAGGCGACTGTGACAGGGCTGTGGGCTGCACATGCCAAGCTGTCCCTGGCTTCCCTGAGGGAGCATGGGGGTGGGGGGACAAGGGCAGCTGAGGGGAAACAGGCTGGGTGTCATGGGTGCCCTGGGGTGACTGCCAGTACACCTCACAGCTTCCTCTTTGGGTCAGCTCTGAGTAGTGCGGGTGGGGGGAGGGGGTGCTGGCTGATGGGTGTATGTGCAGGAGTCAGGCTTGGAGGGAAAGAGCAGTGGAGAGAGGGAAAGAGGGAGGTGGGATTTCGTAATTCGTTTTGGGAGACAAGCTGAGGAAGGTGATGGAGGTGGTGACTTGCCAGGTGGTGTTGATTGTGAAGGCGGGGGCCGGGGGGCAGCGGCGGCAGAGAGAATATGAGAGTATCTGAGGCTTTTTGACCCTAAAGTCCCCAGGGCTCCTTTTCCAGGCCAGGCCCCTAGGATGTCCCCATTTTCCCTGCACCCCAGGTTGCTGCCATGTTTTATTTCTCATCAGTTCTGTCTTTCTCTCTGTCCCCAAAGACCCCAGCAGGCCCTGTCCTTGGTTGGGAGCTCACTGCTACTAATTACCAGAGAATGACCCTGAGGAGGCTAGGGTGCTACACACGTGACCAGAGTGGGACTTACAAAGGTTTAAAAATAAACCTGGCTGCATTCTTGCAGCTACTGTCCCGGGGCTGCTGAGCTGCCAGTTCCCTCTCTAGCTGGTCTCTTCTGTCCTCAGAGGGAGAGCTCACCTCACCCCTGCCCAGGTCATGGTGACCCTTTCCGGTGTTGTATACAGGGTGGCGGTGTCAGTAGTCCAATGTCGGGAGCCCATGAGCAGTGAGGGTTTCTGTCGCTGGCTGGAGGCTCAAGGCAGACCCCACACGGTGGCCTTGGCTGAAACCCACCCCTGTGGAGCCAGCTGAGCAGGGGAGGGGAGCTCCTCACGTTTCCCGGGCTCATGCCCTGCACCCCGATGCCAAGCCTGGCTGGCTCTTGAGAGACTTGAGTGGAGGAGTGGAACAAAGGAGCTTGGGCTGATAACTGTAATTATGCTAGTTGCTCCAATACGCCCATCATCTGGTCAGCTGCAGGGAGCAGGCTGCCATCCACATTGGGTATCAACAAAGCTGGAATGCTTAGGGGTTGGAGGACGAGGTCCTATTAGCAACAGGGGAGCATGAAAGTTTGGTTAGTGGAGGCTTTGCTGTGAACCTGTCCTGAGTTAATTCCTGGCTCCACACTTAGTAGCTGAGTGACCTTAGGCAAGCTCCTTACCCTCTCTAATTGCCTCAGGCTCCTGATCAGCTAAACAGCTGATAGTAGTACCTCCCCCAGAAGCTGTGAGTAGCTGAGCGATTTGGGGCAGGTTACCTAACTCCTGTGGGTCTCGGTTTCCTAACCTGTACTGTGGGGTGGGTATTGGGACAGATGTGATGGAAGTTGAATGAGGAGATGCAGGTGAGGCACTCAGGGCCTCCCAGAGGACATGCTCAGGAACTGTGGTGATACCAGAATAACACGCATCGTGATCCCCCAATGTCTCCCCAGGCCCGTGGCTCTGCCGGTGGCAGGAGGAGGCATGACCCCGCCTCTCAGGAAGACCACGACAAACCTTATGTCTGTGACAGTAAGTACAGGCGATGCCGCCTTCCTTCTGCCCCTTCCCTGCCCCACCATTCCCTGAGCCTCCCTGGCTGGCAGTCCCCAGCCTCGGGGTTGCTGGCCCCCCGCTCCGGGGCCTGCGCTCGCAGCTCGCATGCCTGCCCTGCGCCACAGTCGCCACCTCCTTGTGCCCTCTGCCCCAGGTTTCTGCGCGGGGAGAGCAAGCGGGGAGGCCCCTCGCCTTGGGCGCCGCACTCCTCCCCGGCAGCACCCTTCTTTGTATCTTTCCTCCGGCTCTCTTCTCTTTCACTCTGTCTCCTTAAGATGCACCCCCTATGTCTTAGTCGATTTCAGAGATTTACAAACAAAAGCATAACTCAGAATCCTCCAACAAACGTACTTGGTTCCTGTGGCTTTCTTTTTATATTTGTTTCCCTTTAACTTCCTTTTCTTTGTCTTTCTCCTGTCCTATGTAGGGCAAGTTCTGAATCTTCCTCTGATGATGACTTAGTTATTAAATGGCCTGCGATCCATCTCCAGCCTTTCTTGATTGATTCAGAAACATCTTTTGGACAAGCGGCTGCCTGGCTCCTGAGTTGAGGGTCCGCAGACAGAGCTGGGGAGGGCTGAGGGAGAGAGCGCGAGAGCAGTGCAGTGGGTGGACCTCCAGAAACCTCCAGCTTTGGGGGGCTTTGCCGTCAGCTGCAGAGCTTTTGTCCTCCTCACCTACCAGAGCATTGGGTGGTGGGTTTGAAGCCTTGGCCCTTGTTATCTTCTCACTGTTTTGGGCACGATCTGCGCATGCCGTGGCCAGGGCAGCCCTCAGAGCCGCGCGCCCTCACTGCCCTCCCTGCCCTCCCTGCCCACCTGCTGTTCTCTGAGGGTGCTGAGCTCCGCCCCAGGACAGAAGGGGCCGCGGGGGGCCGGCAGCACAGTGGCTGAGGCAGGGCCCTGGCGCAGTGACCCCTTCGGGCGCCCTGCCTGTCTTGCTGGTATCTGCAGGCTTTGCAAAAGCAGGGTGAGGACTGGGGAGATTGGGCTCAGGTGCCGTTTCAGGCTGGTGGCCATTTTCTCTCCTTTTCTCTGGCCTCTTGACTTTAAAAATTTGTTCTGTGCCTTGTGGGATGACAGCTGGTTGGAGAAGATTTTGCTAGAAGACCTCAAACTCCATGACTCCCATTTGGCTGCTTAATGCACTGTGCAGATGACATGCCTGAGACAACTACAGGTACCACCCCCATCCCAAAGCAGTTCCATTTTAGGATGAGAGAGCAGGGTGTGGGGTCTGATCCGATCGTTCTTGCCATACCAGGAGGTACCTGGCTTGGCCTGGTCTCCCTTCCTGAATGGGGTTCACATAAACCTACGCAGGCTGGCCCGGGGAGACGGGCCTGGGCTGTGGACGGTCCTTGAGACCTCCACAGAACAGGCTCTCCGACGGGAGCTGGAGCAGCTCAGCTCCCAAGAATGCCAGCAGCTGCTCCGGGACTGGGGCTTTGCCTCTTGATTCCTCTTTTAAAAAGCTTTATTTTTATTATGTGATTTTTCTGCTACCCTAGATAATGGAATCACTGCCCCTCTCACTGGATTCTCAGCCAGTAATAATCCCCTGTATTTCCAGGCAAGCCGGGTGCACCCTCTGTCACCCACCTCTCAGTCCCTCTCCTCGCTCCTTTGTCTGGCGTCTGCCTCCACACATGGCCCTTTCTGGGTGACCCTGTCTTGCCTGGCTCCCTCTTTCTGCACAAAGGGCTTGCATCGCAGCCTCTCCCCCAGCTCTGGCGACTTTGTTCTAAGGGCCCTCAATGTCGTTCGCTTTTCCTGTTCCCCTCCCCACAGGGTCTTTTCCTCCTTCTGTTTATGCTTTTGTACTTGGGAGGCCTGATCACAGGGCTGATGCTGGTTTTCTGGAAGTCTCTGCGGCTGATTTCTTGGCTCTTCCCGCATAGACACTACCTCCCTTTTCCTCTCTCGGCAGAGCAAGGCCCACCCTAGGTTGCCCTTCTCTTTCTGGCTTTCTTAGGAAACTGTGTGGCAGCTCAGTGATTAATAGACTTTATTTTTATCTGGTGCCCTTCAGACATGTGATCCTTTGGGATAGGAATGACCTTTGGAGAGGTCATAAGGCCCACCCCGCACCCCCGAACTCAGCAAGGAATGCTTTTAATAATCTCTAATGCATCCTAAGTAGAGAGGTGTCTGGTCACCTCCTTGAATGTCCCCAGGGATGGTGTTACCATAAGCTGACCTTTCTTCCATGATGCTAATGGTGCTTTGAATGATTGTTTTCCTTAATGGGAGCTGAAATTTTTCTCTTCTATGGGTCCCCTTATCTTTTGTGCATCTTTTCCATCCAACAGGTACACTGAGTATTTTTTCTATTCCGGAGGCTCTGGTGACATCTCCTCGTACGCTTGGTTTACCTAGGGCCACATCCCATAATCTCTGTGACCGCCTGCTCTGAGTTCCCTTCCAGGTTTACATTTAAGCTCGGCACTCCCATTGGAAGTAGCACCAAGGCCAGTTAGCTCAAAGAGTCACAGACACATTTTCCTGTTTATTGCACACACTTTAACGCCACCCACAGCAGTAGAGAGAGTGTAGAAGTACCTGACCGCTCATTGCACTGTGCACCTTCTCCGTGACTCCCCGCCTGGTCAGAAGGTGGCTGATGCCTCTGTGTGTGTGCATTTGAGTATTTCTTTGTCCGTAAGTCACTTGGCATTTGGCCCTATTGAATCTCAATAAAGAGATAAAATAATATGTGACTTCAATATACAGGATTCAATAAAGGCAAATTTAAAGACATTGCCCAGTAGTTAAATTTCATTCTCCACAGATTTGTGGTTGCTGCCATTTTTGTATCATCTGTGGTTTGATTTGCATAATCCTCACTCCATCTTTCAAGTTATTTATGAAAATATTAGGCCGCTTTGGACCCTACCACCTCTTCCCAGGTGTATATGAATTAGTAATAGCTACTTTTCAGATGTTGTTGTATTTAACCCTTCTTGGTATATGTTTCTAAATATAGTTGGCCTGTTATGTTCCTGGTCGAAGCTTTCCTTTCATGATGGATAGTTGAAATATTATCTTAGCTGTTAACTTCAGGTGATAGATAGTTTGCCTATTGCCTTTCACTCGGTTGCTGAATTTATTTCATCTCAGAGAACTGTTAAGTCATCTGAACATAATTTATTTTTTTTACCCATTCCATGATATGTGTGTAAATGAATACTTCATTTTCCAGCAAGTAAGCAGCCTCTGTTAATTATCCTAAAAGTTTCCCAAGTTTAAGGATTAAAGTTCTGTTTCTTCCCTTCAATCTCCTGCTGAAGGAAAAGTATTCATTACCCATAAACAAAGTAACCGAATATAACTTTGAGGGAAAGGCTGTAATATTTGTCAGAGTGCAGATTTGGGCCATAGGCAGAGAGATGACCTAGATGTTTATTAAAATGTGGACTCTTGGGCCTCATACCAGATCCCTTGCCTCAGGACCACTGGGGGCAGGCCCAGGAACCTGCATTTTATGAGAGCTCCTGAGGGAAGGCTTATGAATACTGACTTGAGAATGAGTAGTCTGCTTCATCCAAATTTGAAGCTTTCTGGGCGACTGCTCAGCCCTTTTTTTATTCCCTGCGTTTGGCATCTGGAAGTTCTAGAGTCTCTAGGAATTCTCCAGGCGGAGTGCCGCTGGCTTGCCTCATTGTTTTAGTTGGCCGCCTTAGAATCTTTCCAATTCTTTCAGCATCGATAAAAAACTCGGCAGCTCCATATACAACGCAGTGATTCAGCACTTGGCATGAATTTATTTAATAGCTTTAAATCCTAACAGTATCATTAGCCCCCTTTTATATGTGGTATGATAACTGGAGATTAGACATATGAAAGAAATGCTTGGGTTTTGGCTACTGGGATGTTTTAAAATCATTTCAAGAGTTTACCTCTCCTCTTCCTAACTGCACCTGACTCTGAATTTTCTGTTGGCATCATTGGGGCGGCTCCTGATGGGAGACCTGCTTTTCCCTTTTTCTTGCTCAAAGAGCATCCTAGGAAGGAAGATGGTAGTTACGGAGTGAGATTCAGGAAGAGGAAGGACACTTTGTTTCTAAGCCGTAGCCGTTTATGGAGGAGCAAAGCACACATTTGCCCTTTGGCCAGGCACGGTGGAAAGGATTTGTGAAGCTCTTTTTTTCCTAAAAATTTTCTAAAAAATTAATTTTTATGGAACATTTAACATTTAAATGTTAAATTTAACTGAAAGAATATTTAACATGAGACCTACCCTCTTCAAAATCTTTAAGTGTACAATATGTATTGTTAAATACAGGCACAGTGTTGTACAGCAGATCTCTAGAGCTTATTCCTCTTGCTTGATGCAGACTTTATGCCTGTTCCACTCGTTAAATGCTATGAATTTTTCTTTTTAAGATACCTCATAACTGGAATCAGGCAGTATTTGGTTTTTCTGTGACTGGTTATTTTGCTCAGTATAATGTCTTCAAGGTTCATCCGTGTTGCATACTGAAGAATTTCCACTTTTTAAAGGATAAGTAGTATTCCATTGTATGTATATATCTAATTTTCTTTTTTCATTCATCTCTTGACGTTTAGGGGGTTTCCACATCTGGCTTTTGTGAATAGAGCTGCAGCGAACATAGGAGTGCTAATGTCTCTTTGAGATCTTGTTTGCAATTCTTTTGGATAAATACCCAGATGTAGAATTGTTGGATCATACGGCAGTTCTATTTTTAATTTTTTGAGGAACCTGCCTACTGTTTTTCCCCGTAGCTGCACCGTTTTTGCAGTCCCAACAACAGTGCGCAAGTTTTCCAGTTTCTCCACATCCTCTCCAACATTTAATCTTTTGTTCCCCGTTTTTTTCTGATCATGGTGAAGACTCCTGCTAATGGGTACTCACAGTGCAGAGCACTGAGTTCAGAATAAGCATTTTACATACATTTTTTCCCTGTAAATCCTCATATCAACCTTGCAAGGCAGGGCCAGTCACCTTCAGTTCTG